GTATTCGGGTAATTTTTTAACTCATTTTCTGTTATTTCCATTTCTCGTTGTGAATGTGTGTGTGAGAGAATTGCAAATATGGAAGCTTTAGGTGTTCTCGAGTTAGAGTTTGATGAATTGTGTTCAATTGCAGTCTCGGAAGCTAAATTACAAGTTTACTGAGGAGGCTAAGTTAGAATTTTAAGTTTATGGCTTCTAGATTCTAGAAAGAGCAACTTACTAGGTTCATGATGAACTAATCATGCTCATTGATCACTATTAAATGATTTTTTAAGCACCCTTACTTGTGGGATCACACTGGTTATGTTGTTGAAATGAACTTTTAAACACAAATATTGAGTCAGGACCGAATCTAGTCTTGTAGCTCGACTGGTGAGCAGGATAGATCAAAGTTGAATGAGGATGGTTTGCTTGTTGGTATTTGTTAATAGTGTGTGAATGTAAGATATTGGAACGCCTAGTGATAAATCGGAAACTTAGGCTAAGGTCAATTTTATAGTATTGGAATAAAATGGACCAGAGTATCTAATAATGTTTCAACTTATTTGTATAATGGACTCCTAACTGATTCGGGAATGATGGGCGATTGGTTGATATTATTTGAAAGGTCAATGGGGGTTGGCGACTAACTTCTAGCAGCTCCATATTGAATAAAACGAACTTGATGATCTGATCACTTTAGCAGTTTTTGGGATTGATTGAGACCCGTGGTTCATTTCCCTTGTGCGATATTAGAAATAGACTCATCCCCAGTGTTGGGCTTTCTAATATTTGACGACCTATGTTATATCACTTAATGCTCCAGATGTCCGTACTTGCCGAGGAGGTGTTAGAATTCCACATTGGTAAAGTACATGACCTTGGTTAATCCTTGCCAATTGACCTCTCTCTTGCAGTTGAACTTGGCTCAAGGTCTATTTTCTTTCTTGAAGTATCGTGAATAGCTAAACGAAATAGTTTGGACGTTGTTGAATGCCTTGAATTGGGCACTTAATTATCTGTCAATTATGTATTTTGGGCCCAAGCCTGTTAGGGCGTAGCTTAGCACTATATATAGACGCTATGGCAAACCCTATTCTGTAATTCTATTCTTGCCTCTCCATAATAAAACTGCTCCCCCTCTTCCCGTGGACGTAGCCAATTTATTGGTGAACCACGTAAATCTGTTGTCTTGTTTTCCCGTTTATATTTTCTCGTATTATCTCGAATTCTGCATAACAGATGTCCATAATGTAACACAAGGAGCACACACTTTTGGAAAATGTATTTCCCATTTCCTTCTGGAAGAAAACTAGTGCTGCCTTATTCTGACTTTTAGTACACACACATAGGTTGTAGTATTACTATGTCCTTGAAGACATATTCTAGCCTTGGCTGATATTTTTTGGACTCGAGCATTAACAATTCCTAGGTTATCTACAATGCTAATCCTCTACTTTATTGCATTTTCAAATTTCTCCCACACTTTCTCCAACAAGTTGAAGAGAGATGCATGGATGTCCCAATGCGGAGGTGTGAGAGATTGTCTCGCGGGATTATACTGGGTATGTTGTTGTAATTTTCTGCAACAAGAGGCATCAACCACAACATGAGTTGGTGCATTCTTTCTCACTGATAGTGATGAAGAACAATGTAAAAGCTAAAAAGAAAGAGAGAATGAGAACTATTTGCAAATAATAATTCCACGGGTGACCCTGACATTGCTTAGTTGAGATTTGGCAGGACCACAAACTTTTATGCTTCTCCTGCACCTTTAGGTTGGAGGTTCTAACCACCAGAAAGAGAAGTGTGAAAAGGTGCTATTGACCCCTGGGTAAGGGGGTTTAGGGGGTGAGTTGGCGCTTTAAAAATATAGAATCAGAAGGTCGAGGAAGTTTGTGTATGACATGGTTATGAGTCAGAAGGTTTAGTGTTATTTCCCCTAGTCAATGTGCTTCACCTTGAATAGGTACTATGGATTGACGTATGTCTAATCCATCTCGGCTTCTTTTACCGATATGGCAATAAAGCATGTAGCTAGAAGAATTTATTTGGGATGGTCTCACAATAAAACCCCTCATATCTATCAAAAGTTCTGAAACATGGTTTGACTTTGATTGTTTGGTTATGCATGTCAACTTTATGTAACGACAATAACAACAACAAAATACCCAGTGAAATCCCAGTAGGTGGGGTCTAGGGAGGGTAAGGAGGGTGAATGTACAGAGACGTTACCACTTCTCGTAGAGGTAGAGAAGTTGTTACCACTAGTTTCGGTGAGATGCTATTGCGGTATTTCTTAAAGACAGAATTTTATTGGACAGAATTCCACCCTTGATCAGGTGGAAGGAATAATTATTCAAATTCGTCAACCTAATTCTGTTATTCCTTTTGCAGAACCCCTGTATATTTCATTCCATGACGAAGAATGGGGAAACCCAGTTTACGATGACACAAAGCTATATGAACTACTTGCCTTATCACAAGTATTGTCAGAAATGACTTGGCCTGCAATCCTTAATAAGAGACACATATTCAGGTCCACTATTAAAGATCATCTCTCAGATCTTCAGAAGTAGAACTCTTAAGTCCATAAGTTTGAAATTACTTATGGTTTACATCTTGCAGGAAGTTGTTTGACAATTTTGATCCATCATGTCTTGCAAATGTTACTGAGAAAAGACTGCGCTCGTTGAGAGAAACTGGAAATTCATTGCTATCTGAACCAAAGATTCGTGCAATAGTAGAAAATGCAAAGCATTTCCAGAAGGTAAAAGGAACTTCTACAAGTACCTTTAGACCCGAAGTTGCAAAACTGATCCTAAACTGCTTTAGCTTTCCAAATATAGACGTTTCTTTGACTTTCTTCTAATCTGAATCAAGTGACTATTATTTTTTAAACTTAGAAGGAACAGCTAATTCAAATTTTACTATATTGTCCAAAAATCATACCATCAGTAAACCGGTAACTGTAACCTTTACACTAAAACAGATAGTGAAATATCATTGTATGAACAAGTCAACTTTTCGTGTGGTGCATAATCACTGATGGTTCTCAAATATCTACTTTTCTTGCAGATACAGCAGGAGTTTGGATCCTTTAGCAACTACTTCTGGCGTTTTGTAAATCACAAACCGATAAGAAGTGGATTTCGCTATGCACGTCAAGTACCAGTAAAAACACCAAAATCAGAACTTATGAGCAAGGACCTAATGAAAAGGGGCTTCGTTTGCGTAGGACCAACAGTTGTGTATTCATTCATGCAAGTGGCAGGTATATTTAATGACCATCTCATTACATGCTTCAGATACAACGAATGTAACAACGATAATATCAACAAGCACTCACAAACGAAGTTAGTAAAGACAGATATACAAGGCCGGGACCCTGTTGAGAACAACACACATATGAGTAATGACCATTTGAGTTTGACATAGCTGATATCCTCTGTGAATTTGTATCAATAGCCTTGACGTACTTTTAACCAACAGGATTCTAATTTACAAGAGTGTTGCTTTGATTGGTAATCTTTTCAGCTTTGCAATGTGTGTATTTAGAAACTTCCTAACTTTTGTATTTGTCATGTATGAAGAGATTGAAGGTTGTACTTATATCTATACACTATGGTGTCTGCTAATTTCTAATATTTGATGATTCTAGTGGTATGTTTTTCGATAAAAGGTCTAAATTTCCGTTGTATAATCCTATATTGCTCAAGTTAGTCCATTTATATCCTCATGGTTAGCTAATCTATTGTATTTACCATTGCCATTAATAGAGTTCTAACACAAATAGCAGGACTTAATGTGTCCATATCTATCCCTCAATATTTTTACTATGGTTTGAGCTTTATAATTGTGTCAAGAGTTCTCTTAGGGATCAAGGGAAAAATCGAGACTTTGTGAAGTTGCTCAATATTAGATAGTTCTAGGACATATTTGAGGACAAACCTTGCCATCTTTGTCCAGCAATTTACTAATGCTGGACCTCGTTGGCAATGTCTACATGTTCGTCTGCAATAAAATCCAACAGCTTAGCATATATACATATAAAATCCATTATTGGTGTTGTTTGGAAACTGTTTGACATTACCACGTGTCTGATAATATTTTATGCCTTTTATCTTGATTTGACTATAAAAGGGAAAACAATGTCGAATTTAGAATTTTGAGTTTATGAGTTTTGAATTTTAGAATAGACAACTTACTGATTGAGTTCTGGGTAAGTTTTTATTTTTCGTTGTTATATTGGTATTGGGGCAGAGGAAGGGAAAATGGAGGACGGAGATTACAAGGTGGGAATTGAACCTCACCAACATGTGAGTACTTAGATTCAGTTAGTTTCATAACACAGTTACGAAGTTTTGATCAAAGCTACTAAGTTCTGTCAAATCCGTACCTAGGTGAGAAAAGGGCAAAAATATAGCAGCAAGCAAGACATGTGACAATAACCGCGTTATGAGAAAAAAATAATGAAAAAGTAACTGTAGAGGAACATGTGTAATACAGTAGTACAGAACCCCACATCCAGACATTAGGCCGTGGTCTTGTACATTAAATCAGTTAAACACCATTTGTTTTATCTTTCTTCTTCTCTGTCTGTGCTTGTGTTGATAACAAACGTGTGCATGAACATGCTATTATTATTAATATGACTACTGGTAGTTTACTAATGGAGCCAAATGAGTGACAAAGAAAATTCAACAACTTTGATTTGATTGTCAAAAAATTCCAACTTCTTGACATCCATCTTGCCATTGGCCAGCCCTATGGAAGTTATTTCGATTACGGAATCATGCATGTCTGTTGGAGTGAATTAGATGATCGAGCTGAATAGATCTTCCTTTAGAGGGCTATCTTACTTTCACTCACTTATGAACCCTTGAGTCGTCAAAGTCTTTTCTGGCCCACCATTGCTTGTCCTTTAAGGACATATGAGTTAAAATGGTATAGTGAAAGTGTGTGTAAACAAAGAGAACTAGTACTAATGTTTTGATCTGGACATAAAGCATCAAAGAGACTTAAAGAATAGCACATCCATTGATTTTGAATTGACGCTAGATCATAAAACAAGAAATCCAGTTGCATAACAACAAAGGGATCTACTATAATCATGAAAATATAACTGTGGATAGTTCAGGTTTAAGGAGAACTCCTGCTAGTCTACAATGACTTGAAACAATTCTCAACCACAAGGAGATAGAAACCATCAACTATCTATACCTAAATGCTTATGACAAGACCCAAACTAAACTTAAAGGCCTCATCAGATAAGGCGAAAAGGAAAAAAAAAATGTCTGTATATAAGGTAAACAGCAACATGCAAGATCTATCTCTGTAACGAACATCCACTGGACTGCTTGAGTGAATCATCAGCTAGCAAGCTCGGATAATCTCAATCTGTAAATCCACACTGAGCAGTTCTTTTAATCATGAAAATCACATCCGAGCAGTCCCACTTCCGAGAGTGAGCTCCAGATCATCTAAACCAACCTCATGAATCTTTTCACCTTCCCATGCTGCCTTAACTGATACATTCTCAAAGTCAAATTCAATGCTCTTACCCTTGTCGATGATCATATCATTAGAAGGAATTCTCTGAGCTACAGGCTTAATAAGATTAAAAGTCGGAGAAGTAGGGATCCCATTGGCTGCGTACTTTTGAAAGCTCATCCACTGGCCAGAATCAATGGTGGATGAATCAGATTCGTCACACTCTGGTATTGTAGCAGGAGTGAATCGCTGACCTCGAGTTGGGCTAGTTGGGGCTGAAGCAGCAAAGAAAGGGATATTTAGAGCAGACATAGACTCTCTAGCCAAAGTCTCAAGATTAAATATCTGCTTAGGGACTCTAGTTGGTGATGAAAGAGGTGGTGTTACAGGGGCACTGTTTGATATTCGTAATGGTGGTAGCGACAAGGGAATGGAACTATGGAGAAATGCAAATGGATGTGACGACATGTTAGCATCACCACGAGATGGACTTGGGAAAGACGAGGATGTTGGACTAACTTGGTAAGATGGAATCGGGCTAGCAAAGTATGAAGAGGGAGGACTTGGATTTCGTGAAGAACTTGGCGTAATGTTGGCTGAAGTGCCTCCAATCTCCATTGGAGTTGGCCTGCATCCCTGAAAACATAGTAAAAGAGGACATTTTCAAATCAAACTAGTGAACATAAATGATCAAAAGGCTCTGTAATCTGAGATAACAACTTCAACAGATTGCAACTTTGAATCTCGAAAAGTAGTTGATAAACTAAAAACACCACAACCAAATGCATCAAACCCCACCTTAGACACCAAAACACCCTGCTTATCCATTTCTATATTAAGAACAAGTCAATTCTTCCTTCTTGTTTTTTCCAGAAACAACTCCCATTCTCAGACAAATTAAACTACATACATTCATACCAATTATCCAGAAATGAGAACATGAACAGATTATAAGTACATAAAAGAACAATTGAACTAAAGAAAACACAAACTCAGAAGCTGTTCATAATCAATTCTAGATCAGAAAACCATAAAACAGTCAAAAACCAACTGAAAACAGATAAAAACACAATCTTTGATCCAAATTCAACAACCCCATTTTCCAAATCTATAGATCTAAGCAAAACTCCAACCAAAAACACATCACCCCTTCAATCCAAACAAACAAAAACTAAGACACAAACACTACTTTAACCATACATCAATTCATAAAAGAAGATGAATTTTACTAACCTTTCTATAAGTAGTTCCATCAGGCTCAACAATCCATCCAGCTTCAACACAAAGAGCCTTCAAAACCTCATTGTTATCACAATGTTTAGGAAGATTATAATTCCCCTGTGCTCTTAATCCACTATAAATCTTAGCTGCTATTGCCCTTCTCCTCCTTTCCCTCCTCCTATTATTCTCCCTTTCCCTCCATGATGGCTTCCTCCTCCCACTACCACCACCTCCACCACCACCAACACCACCACCTTCACCAACACCACCACCACCCTCCACCGGCAACCCTCCACCTTCCCACATCATTTTCTCCCCAAAAAGAATCGATTTTTTTCAAGATTTCTCAAAATTAAGAAAATGGGTTTTTTTTATATGATGAATCCAAAGAAGAAAGAAGAAGAAAAAGGGGGGCTGGTCCCAGGTGGGTGTGTTCAGACAGCAGGTGGGTTTTGCTTACTGTGTTGTATAGGTACTAGGGGTGCCACTCTATAAAGCATTTTTTTGGGACTACTCACGAGAAATACGCTCTAAAGTTTATACTACTACAAACAATCTGAAGAATTTTCTTCTTTACTTTTCTCTCTGTGTGTTTGTGTTATATATATATATATATAAAAAAAAAATGATGATGAAATGGTGTTTTGTGTGTTTTGTTTTTTAGCAAAATTATAATAATTGAAGAGATAAAGTTTGTTACAGCTTCAGAATTATCATGTGTAAGCGTTTTTCATTCTATTTTTTAAAAATGGCAAAAAGAAAAAAAAACTTTGACTACTTTTTTAGATTTTACAAATTACATGATTAGACTACTAAATTAATTTTTTTGACTGTTATTTAAGAGTTGAAATAATTTTTTACTTATCAAATGAAGCAAGATAATAATTGTTATTTACTAGTTTATATTTTGGAATTTAAATATAAAGTTTTTAATGTTTGACTGCTTTTTAAAATTTTATTAATGGGGTAATAGCTATGTTATTATAAGTTTTCTGGTCTTAAATCGAGGTTAGTTATGATAGACACATAGATAAAATTAAAGTAATTTTTTTTTTGTATAATTGTGATAAATTTTATAGATAGAAAAAGCGATAAGGCAATAACAAGGATATTTTATAATGAGGTTGAATCAGAAAGTTTGATTATCAAAAATTATAATATAACTTGTTTATAAATAATAAATGAATAAGTTTATTTTAAGCTTCTAAACGACTCAAGTGTTGAAATAAAATAAGTAGTGTTAATGGCATTTTTATTTCATTATATTTTAGATATATATATATATATATATGATTGTTATTGTTATATTAGTTAATTTCAAATATATACAATTTTAATTTTTAATTAGTTAATGGTCTGAAATTGTAATGAAGATTACGAGGAAAGAGTCTGCACTGACAGTGTGGGGATCAGATCAGTTGATTACACAGAGAATCAACAAACACATTTTGATTTTCGTGCAAATTTTGTTCTTAAGAAAATTAAATTAACCTAAATTAAATTAACCTCCGTATTATTTCACGTGGCACTATTTTTTAATCTTGAGATTCAAAATTATTTTGAGTGATAAATTATTATGATTTATAGTGTGTTTTATTTATTTAATATATATATATTATTTAAAAAATTGAAAATTTAAAGTATAAATTTTCGATCAAGCGTAAACTGTTTGATTTTTTAAAAAAGAAAAAACTATCAAAAGTCTATTATACTAGTTTTTATTACTATAATTTTCGTACTTCGTTCAATAAAACAAAATAATGCATAAATAAAAAAAGTGGTTTCACTAACAGTCTATTTTATATAAATTAATAATGATTGTGGTACAATAGTAAGTTTTTGAATTCGGATATGAACCTTCGTGATTGTTGTTAATTTTTTTTCTCATGAGTTCGATTATTCAAATTCCGATATTAATATTAATTATATCTTTTTTAGAAAAATAACAATTTTACGAATCTTTGTGATTGTGGGGGACAATTATTTTCTATTTACACTTTTATGTAAACTTTATTGCTTGTAAAAAAGCAATTTTGTAATAGAGATGTCTCCTCGATTACTGAAACAGTCAATTAACCAATAGTTAGTTGCCACATCAGTAATTGTGGTCCCACTCCATTTGCTCAGCTCAATTATTAGCAGATCAGATCAGTCAATTGTTACATCGGACCCAAAAATTAATTAGGATAAACCTCTCGACTTTATCTAAATTTGTATTTAATTTGTAGTTAGTATTTCGAATTTCCAAACATATGAATTTCAAATTGAGAATGTGAACCCTAACTTCCATGCCTAAATGTCCAAAAGTTCAAATTGCCCGAGCTATAAATTGAATTTGACGATCTCCAATTTCAGATTCACATTTTTAAAGTTTAACCTATCAATATTAACTTGAGACACGGATTTTCGACTTCAGTTCCATGAGTCGAGTCCCCAACTTCAGACTCGCATTTTGAAGCTTAAACTGTGAATATTAACTTGAGACACGAATTTTCAACTTCAGTTCCATGTGAAGTTGATTTTGAAGCGACTAAACAATAAAGTTTTTGTACTTGTCAACTTGGAAAAATTATTTAAATGAATGTCTACTGATAAATAATTACTGATTTTAGCAATATTTTTTATTTATTATTATTTATAGCAATACTATATTAAGTCTGTAATATATATTAATCAAGTATGCAATATACACGTATTATATCTGTTTTAAAAAAAATATTATGTTCGTTTGATAAGAAGTTGACACATTGTATTATACATACATTAAAACATGTGACATATGTATTATCTATCAATAAAAGTAACTTATACTATACGTAAATAATAAATTACTTTTTGTAATATGACTTAAAAGTGTATTATAAATGTATTAAAAGTGATAAAGTGAAACAAACAATAATACTATATATAATAAATATTTTTTATTTATAATATAAATATGTAAGTTTCCCTTTCAACTATACTTCTTGAATCATGTGCATCCTGGAATAAGTAATGAACTGAAAATGCACCTTATCATGTTTGAATCTCCCATATGATGTTGTGAAAATGAATTCAAATTGTGCAGAAAGTTCATCAAAACATAGGTCTACATCATTGGTCTTTTACTTATACATGAACGTATCCGAAAAACAAATTGCAGAGTTACACTTAGCGTACAGGAATTTTTTTCTGGTTCGACTTAAATTTAAAGACATTTGAATCCAATCTGAGGCAGAAAGATCACCTGAAATAATTTTGCATCCAAACTTTACAGACTCTCTCTATTCTTTCAGCCTTGAAGATGCTACATGCAACGGGTGAAGAACGTTTGCCCGACATAGCCCCCATGCATTGCCCTTCTGACATTGGATTCAAACATCTTCGGGTTGTCTCTCAATACAGCAGCTGCATCGTGATTGAGGGGATCCTCATGATTCGGCTCCTGCAGAACCACAAGTTCGGATTGTTAAATACTTCGGATGAGGGACAAGTATCTTTATATCAAAATTAAGAAAGTACCGTGAACAGATGATATAAGCCATAGATAATGGTGTTAATGTTGAGCACAGGCTTCCAGTCTTCTCGAAGAATGTTGAGACACACATTTCCTTCCAAGTCGATATTTGGGTGGTAAACCTGCTCCAACAACCAAAAAAAGGGTCTTACCAGTGATGATGATAAAGTGTCGTAGTCTCGACACATTCTAGAAGAAAATAAACGAGTATAACCAATACCCACCTTTGTCTTGCACTTAACCTTTGGTGCCTCGTGAGGATATATTGGAGAAATACTGAAAGAGAACGTAAATGTGCCACCCCTATATACAGGAACAATGAAAAATAAGCAATAAATGACATCACTATAGAAAGCCAAGTTAAATTCACCAACGTTCCCGTTTTCTTCAAAAAAGCAGAAAGGCGAAAATACAGTAGAACTAGCAACACAGGAATTATTTTTGTAGAAGTAAGAAACTTGAAGAATGGCCTACAAAATTAGTGATAGGTAACTTGTAACAAATTTACTTACATATAATATCCTTCATCAGGCCGAATGGTGACTTCAAAGTTCATGAGGTCATCTTTTCCATTGGGAAATGATATGCTACATGTTTTGGGTAGATTTAGCTCACTTATATCTATAAGAAAAAAGATGCAAAGGTTTAGTCGTCACAATTTAGATGCAAAAAAATAAAATAAAAAAGCGACAGGAGATACAAAAAGGAAAAGTAAGAGAAACAAAATACGTTGAAGTTAGGACAGAGATACAAATAGTTAATAGATCCCTTGCGTTAAGTGAGAATTTTACATGAAACTCTCCAATTCCAAAGAGGAGTCAGCTAGAGATAAGAGGAAACAGAAGCTAAGAAATTATCATGCTGTAGTCTCACATCAAGCAACAGAATCCCCCACCCCACCTCTCTATGCTTGAGTGCACATACATAATAGCCATAGTATGCAGAAGACAGCACTAAGATTGAGAACCTGGATAAACTGAAGGTTCTGAGAAATCAACACAGTTTGTCACAAATTATGCACCAGGAGAACGAATCAATAGAAGAATGACGATAAATGATATTTGTCTGAAGTAATAAATGGGAAATTTTTTGAAAAAACCCTGATTGATGGAAATGACTGATGATCCGTAGAGTACTAACTATTATGATGACAGCTTAAGACTTTGCACCGTATTTAGCTCAGCGAGTGAGAAGGTAGAAGAGACTGTCAATTCACTTGACAATTTCTTTTCTTTTTTGGAGATGGTAATATTGATCCTATATACCACAGGTATAACTAAATCAAAAGTGTAGTTACCCTACAAAAGTATTACGACTTACAACTTATAGTTCAATTCTATTCCTTACAGAACGTCTAAGACATCAAAAATATCTTCTGTTTGAGCTAATAGTTTTTGCTCACGCCAAAAATAAAGAAACGCATAACAAATTCATTTTGAAATCCTGCAAGTTGTTCTGCACTTCCTCAAAACATCTCTTGTTCCTTTCAGTCTACAGACTGACCACCAAATGCAGGACGGGACAATCTTCCATCTCCCCTCCTTCTTACTCACATAACCATCCACTCCAGCATCTTAAAACATCTGTTATGCTTCCAGGTTTCACCCACTTGATTCCTTTCAGGCTGATGAACCATCTTCCACACTGTTCTGTACATTTACAATGCAATGATTGTCTCAGCTTGTTCCCCACATATAAAGCACCTTGAAACTAGTTGGTGACCCCTCTTGTTCAGATTTTCACGTGTCAAAACTACCTTTTTAGACAAAAGCCAGATGAAACAGTTTACTCTGTAGGGACTTGTTCGTTTTCATATCATCTTCCAAGCCCAAATCTCTTTCTTGCACCACTGCTATATTCAGTTCCTTATATGCAGATTTGACAGAGTAGCATACCTTTCATGTACTTGATTTTCCAGCTTGTCTACCCCTCCATTAAGATTGTTGAACCTGCTACCCCTTCTCATCTCCTTAGGTGTTCACTTGACATTCTAAAAGACAAATTGAGGTGGGCGGGCCAAAAAGAAAAAACTTTGTACATTTTTTTTCAACTTTTCAAAAATTTTGTACTTCATTCAAATTTTCAAAAGTTTATACTTATTTCAAAATCAAAATATGCAAAAGCAGGGGAGGCACCTCTGAATCTACCCCCAGGCCCCAGCTGCCACTGCCTGGCGCTTCTATTTGTACCAACCCTCCACTTTTTTCCTTTTCTTTTCTATAACCGTGATGTCCGGGACAACATGTGTGCACCTCCACTAATTTCACGGAATACCTGAACCTTCCATCAGCTATAGGAATCAAGTAACTCTATCCATCAAGGCTAGGACAGATGGGAAGACATCACCGAATGTTGTTGTCTCTGCTGGAATTCAAACCTGAGACTTCATGGTTCTTCACCCACTTCATTGACCACTGGGCCACAACTTTGGTTTCAATTTTATCAACTCTCCACTACCTCTACTTTTTTACTGTTTAGTTGGTAGGTTCTTATGAATGTGGTAAGAGGGTATGACAGAATGAATTTGATTCTACAAGCCCAACTAGTAACAAGGTCAGCAAGTAACTTTGTTGCAGTTTTAAGCACTAGCAAATAAGATGGAGAAGAACAGGATACGGCAATCGGCATAGTGGAACAAGGAAAAATGGAGAATGTAGGAGGATGACATACCCAATCCCACTCAAATGAAAAATGAACAGAAGACGCAAGAATTCAATGTCATTTCCATGAACTATAGCCACCTACACTCACTCCCTGATTGAAAGATTTTTTAAGTACTTCCACAACACGCAATTTTTCACTTAGCTCTCCATCGTGCATATTCTTCCAGCAGTTTTCGAGAAAAGGTAATGTGGAAAGAACCACAAAACTTCCTAGATAAACATTACAAAAATAATTCTTTTCAAGAAGTCTTAAGAGTCTAAATCTTACTGCATCCTTAATGAGTGTCAAGACCTCAACAATAATTTTATCCTGGCACTAACAGTAACCTACATATATTTTCAATTAGGATCGCTAATGCAGCACTCATTTCCACATTCTCAAAGCAGAAAGTGACCTTCCTGCCTGGAAGTAATACTGCCATACAAATGCAGGATTCCAAGAGCATTAGTTAACCTAACCAATTCAAAAGAGTTGGAAAAAGAAACCACCTTTATGAAGACGCAACTCTCCAGGACTTTGTTTCTTGACTGGTGGCTTTCCATTTGCGTTCTCAGCTTGTTCTCTCTGCTTTTCTTTTACTTTGAACAACTTAATCATGGTCCCTGCAAGAGAAAACATATAACATAATTAGAGCACGATAGACCATCCAAGTACATGAAACTATTCTCACATCTTTTTCTTTGCTAATAACCACATAAAACCTTCAAATACATAAAATTTGCTGAAGTTATATCCATGAAGACCCTGTATCCTTTCTTTCCGTACTTTATAAAGATTTCATCAGCATGTTCTGAATTGTAAAAATGGATCATTTCTTTTTGTAAAAGAACAAAAAAGGGGTTCATATTTCGTATTCTAATCCTATTAATCCCCTGGTGATGGACAAAATCATTTAAATAAACTTTCTACAAAATAATCCTATTAATCATAGCACAGGCATGCTTGGCAGAAAGGACATGTAACCAACTTCATACTATGAAAAAAAAGAGAATGTCCCAAATCAAAAGCAAACTTCATTCCTATCGAATTAAATGTTTTTAACAAAAGTAAGACAACCGTTCACCCATAAGCTATGTTGCTCGAACTCTTCAAAAATGTTAATTGATGTGTGTCGTATTCTCCAAAAATACTGATTTTTTTTGGAGAATCTAACACGGATGCAGCACCCAAAGTGAAAACCAGCGCAAACTTAGCTCATAAGAAAACTGACCAACATCAAAAACTCTAAAACCTAGTCGGTGCAAGCTATGACCCAAGTCAAAGACTGAAACTTTAGCAGAATCAATAAGCAACTATAGTCTATAGAAAGTAAAATTGAAACAAACCCAGATATAAAATCATTAATACAACAAGAACAAACAGGAAAAAACAATCCGTTCAGATCAAACACACCAGCAAACACTTAAATTCATTGATTAAACAGCTTAAAACAGTCAGCAAAACAAAGGGTTTCATTAGATTAAAGCAACTAACAGTACTCTGATTCGATTATACGATCTGGGTACCAATCAAAACACCCAAAAAAATCACTGAATCTATAAAAGGGCATACATCTACAAGTAGATAAAAAGAGCTGAAACAAGAAAAAGAACCTGTTTAGATGAGAAGATGCAGAGTAGAAAAAGGGTATTTTTTTTCTGATCTCAGGTTAGCGTAAACCAGCAAAGGGATTCTCTCTTCTCTCTTATCGAATTGATTGATGAGAGAGAATCTAGAGAAAGAAACAAAGGAAAGAAGAAATACGCTGGACGCCAGTCCAACTTTTATATTTTCACTCCACGACCACAAACACTTGTTCTACACTACTCAACAGATTCTCAATTGTTCGATTGAGTACAAGTTATTTTTAAGTTAAATTTTTAAGATGCTTAGGTTATATTTTGTTATTTTAATTTACATTTTTAATCAAATATAAAATAAAATAATTTTATGTTTTATATCAAAGATTTTATACTTTATATTTTACTTTGAGCGTTTCTTTAGACGTTGACTGATAGTTAATTTAGATGTTGAGTTATTAAATTTTATATAAATTATGTTATGCTTGATTGGTGATTAAAAATTAAATTATTCACGAAAAAAATATGAATGCTGGATTTATAATTTATAAATTTATATAATTAATATGTGTATTAATTATGAGGAAGATATATATGTATTGTTTTATGTAGAAAAATACATGAAATAATTAACAGCTATATAAAATAGTGTGTAGATTTATTCATGAGTATGACTAAACTTTACACTACAACTATTTTTACAATTCTAACTAGCTATTAAATCATCTTTTAGAATTCCATTGATAATCAGTTAGAGTTAGATAAATATTAATAATTAAATGGCTATTAACTATTTTATTTTTATTATGAATTGTATAAGATTTTTTCGTAATTTATTTATATGTCAATTATGTAACTTTCTAGTTGTTTTTATATAATTTTCTTTTTCAATCTAGTTATCAAACGTTATATAAATTATATAAAAAGTCATATGAATAAGTTGTTTCTTAATTGCTTACCAAATGGCCTCTTAGAGTTAGTTTGTTTTTTCGGAACTAAATTTAGAAATATACATAAATATTTCCACTAAAAGTATCACTACTTTTGATGTGTTTAGATGTAATAGTGAAATGATGTGTTTAGATGTAATAGTGAAATGATGTTATATATAACATATTGAATATTTAGTTATGTGACATTTTTTATAAATTTATTTGTTACTATACGTTATGTATAAAATTTCACTAGATAAGTTAATATTGTTGTTATTTTTATGAGATATATTTATTTCATATATAAGGGATCTGAAATGACATTATTTTTTCTTTAATTTTATAAATTATCATGAAAAGAAAATTATCTTTGCGGTTATATCATTTAACATAATATGAAATATTTATTATCAGAGCGATTTTTGAACCCGTGAAAATCTATGAGGTCTAACTAGTAGTATTTGACGCGATTATAGTTTTATGATTAGTAATTTTGATATTATTAGTGTTATAATTTTGATAATTATTAGTGTTATAATTTTGGTATCAAAGATATGTTTTATATTATAGTATTTATATTTCGTATTTGATCCAACAAGTTAAATATTTTTATCTAGCCATAAAATATAATTTTTTATTAAATAATCTTGTTATTATTAAATCCCAACAATATAAGTATAATTAATATCATTGATATCTGGATAAATTATTAGCTAGCATTTCATAAATATCATAGAGTTTTCCCCTTTTTATAGATTACATTCTCTTTCCAATTTTGTCGTACGTTTTGCTTTTAGTTAATGGATATATTTATCATTAGCAAATTATCTTAAAGTTTATATTTATAATTAATCGAACTTTAATATAAAATAAAGGTTTAATTCATCAGTGGCCTTCTAAAATTGACATTAATTTTCACTAAGATATCTTAATTAAGTTTTGTTTATTTTAGACCCTTCAAGTCATACTGCATTGTGTCGTTTTAGCACCTTTTTAACCGTCAGTCAAATATATTATAAGGTGTATGTCATACACTCGCCTAATAACGTGTCCAAGTAACAAATTAAATAAAAACACGTGACATATATATTAAAAATAATTTTTAAATAATAATATTTTCGTAGAATGAAAAAGTAACCAATGACTTAAGGACATGTGAAATTTTTTACACGAAAACTCAAAAAGAAAAAAATCTAACTCTTCTCCACCCCACCTACCCCAACCCCTATCCCTATCCACCTACCTAGATCATCTTCTTCACTATTCCCCGCCCATCCAACGTCTTCTACACCTTTGCCCACCCTAACCCTACCCCCAAGCCCTTCCCCACTCACATCGTTTTCTCCACCCCTCTCCCACGCTACCCATCGTTTTTTTCAAGTTTTTTCATTGTCCTTCTTATTTGTGACAACATGAATTTTGGGTTAAAATTTATTTTTTGTGAAATCTTTTTGTGTTGAATTTTTTCTCTTTTTTGGTCAGTAGCAACATCAAAACTATTTCTCCATAGAAGGAGTTCAAGTTTTGAGAGATGGTGGCTGAGAAATGAGGAAGAAAATAAAAAAAAATGATTTATTGAGCCTTTCACGCACCGGTAACGAGACGTGACATGAGGTGTCTAAAATGAACAAAACTTAGTTAAGGTGTCTAAGTGAAAGTTGGTGTCAACTTTAAGGGACCGCCAATACTCAAATTCTTTGAAAAAATTAATGCTCAGCTTTGCCACTATATTTTATAGGCATAATACATAAATGTGTCTTTTAACTTGGCCTCGTTTCACCTTTATATTTTTTAATTTTGGGTTTGCACAAATAAACACTTAAACTTGTATCAACTTGAACAAGTAGACACATGAGCCCTACGTGGTATGGCACACATAGGACAAAAATGACATATAGGACATGCGTGTTTATTTGTTCAACTTTATACAACTTGTGCACATCCAATATTAAAAATCATAATGTAATTTAAAGTCAAATTAAATAACATATTTATATTTATATTTATATTTATGTACTATACAATTTTATATTTAAGTTTACGTTTAGGATAGGACTTCATTACGTGTCAAGGACAAAAATAAACCTATTTCTTAATGGAGGAGTAACTATTTTATTAGAATAAAAGTCAATAGATTGCAAAGTTAAACTTCAAAATTTGTTTTTTTTTTTCCATCAATCAATAATTTTACTGTACAAATAATAAAAAAATGTTTTTATTCTTTGCTTCGTGTAAAAGACTGTCAATCAAAGCCACTTTTCAGACTTGCAACTAAAATATAGTCACTATAATGTCGAGTTGAAATGGCATGATAATATACGAAAAATTTATATTTCTGGTGACTATTTTTCAGTTATATGTACTAAAAAGTGATTATTTGTGAATTGTATTCAAACATATGTTGACCTCATTTTCTCTATATTATATATCACTATCTTTTATTTCCTAGTTTGGCTTTTTTAAATCTTTGTTGTGTTGCTACTCTTCAAGATTTTTTCCTGGTCACGTTAATTTTCTTTTCGAGAAAAATTAATGTGGAATTATACATAAAAGGGAAAATAATATGAGTGGATCGCAAATTGCTACTAACTCCCAAAATTTTGAAGATTGCCTAGAGATGGCAACGAGGCGGGGTAGGGCAGGGCAGAGCAAGAGAAGCTTTGACCAGCTAATTTTGTTTACTTGTATTTATTTATATTTTTCACGATCAAACGATCCTTAACTAGTTGATATCTAGTAACAAAAAAAAGATAATATTCATACAGTTATTCAATTATGGTTAGCTTTCATTGAAAGTCACTCGGCAATGATAATTCTCTTGGGAGATTGGTCAATTTTCATACTTAGAAAGTCAACAACTAACTTTTATGTTATGAAATAAGTTATTTATATTATATTCTTTGAAGCAAAGGAAGACGAAGTTTGAATTTAAATTTTATATTTATAAATATATAATAAGTACTTTAAAAAAATGACGAATCAATGTTATAAGTAATCTCTTCCCACAAATTGAACCTAGTAAGATCTTCAAGAAATTCTTTGATTTCTTCTTCAAACATGATTAATCAATATTGTATCTTCCAACTTCACTAAAAGTGAAGCTTGAAATTTCCTAGAAGGAAAAATAAGTAAAAAATTTTAAGACGATCTAATAATTAAATTATTATTTTTCTTTAACAATCTGCTAATATAATTTTAGGCGGAACCTTAAAGAATTGTTTGGTTGACATATATGATAAAAATATAACACTATTTTATTCTACATTTATAACTTAGATCATTCTTTTTTAATTAAATTCAAAAGAAAAATAGGTTATTATTCAGTTAGATCATTTTTTTCAAATAAACTCAAAAGAAAATAGATTATTTTTTTTAAAGAGAGAAATATTTTTTAAAAAAACAACAAAATTTGTTTAGGCTTTCAAAGAGCATTACTCATAGGATTAAAATGGAAAAATATTGATTAATCAAATCTTAATTTATTCCATGGACAAGTAATTTTGAAATATATGATCTTAATTGGAATATTTTTTTGAATATAATTCTTGATTTAATAAGTGGACTGGTAGTTTGGAACATGTGATCTTAATTTGGAAAAAGTTTTAATTTAGTAAATGAAAAAGTAATTTGAAATATTAAATTGATAGAAAATATTATTTGAAGTGATAAAAAAAGGGAAAAAAAAAACAACACTTCATCACCCCTATAAAGTCATTCGATTTCAACAATATTTTTTTTATACATATTTTTTAAAGCTTAGCTTTTTGGAAAAGAAAATGAGATCTATGAACCTTGTTGATTCATGGGGTCAAGCTTGTCTAGTTATCAATCAATCTTTACCTTACAATTCGTTTAATGGATTGATGAAAATCAATTCGAAAAATCGAAAAATTTTGCAACAGAGTTTATCTTATAGAACATTTTCATCTGTAACTGTTTCAGCTATTGCTACCAATGAGAAAGTTGTTATGGAAAAAGAAGAATTTAATTTCAAGGTTTACGTAGCTGAAAAGGCGATTTGTGTAAATAAAGCTTTGGATGAGGCTATAATGGTAAAAGACCCACCTAAGATCCATGAAGCAATGCGTTATTCGCTTCTCGCCGGCGGGAAGAGAGTCCGGCCGATGCTCTGTCTTGCTGCCTGTGAACTTGTTGGGGGAAACCAAGGGAATGCTATGGCGGCTGCTTGTGCTGTTGAGATGATACATACTATGTCTCTAATTCATGATGATTTGCCTTGTATGGATGACGACGATCTCCGCCGTGGAAAGCCGACGAATCATAAAGTGTACGGTGAGGATGTGGCGGTCCTCGCCGGAGATGCGCTACTTGCTTTCGCATTCGAGTACCTCGCTACCGCTACAACCGGAGTTTCTCCGTCGAGGATCCTCGTTGCTGTCGCCGAATTGGCGAAATCTGTTGGAACTGAAGGGTTAGTAGCTGGACAAGTAGCGGATTTAGCTTGTACTGGTAACCCTAATGTGGGATTAGAAATGCTTGAATTCATTCACATACACAAAACGGCGGCGTTGCTAGAAGCTTCCGTTGTAATCGGAGCAATCCTCGGCGGCGGAGCTGATGAAGAAGTGGATAAGTTAAGGAGATTTGCCCAATGCATCGGTTTATTGTTTCAGGTAGTTGATGATATCCTTGACGTGACAAAGTCATCGTCGGAGCTCGGAAAAACCGCCGGAAAAGATTTGGCGGTTGATAAAACGACGTATCCGAAGCTGCTGGGATTGGAAAAGGCTAAGGAATTTGCGGCGGAGCTCAACGGCGAAGCTAAACAACAGCTGGCGGCGTTTGATTCACACAAAGCTGCTCCATTGATTGCTTTAGCAGATTACATTGCTAATCGTCAAAATTAAGATTTTTTTGTGGAAAATTTTTAGTTTTATGAAGTAATTGAATGAATGTAGTTCTTCATAATGTGATTTGAATCTTGATTTATCAAATGAAAATGAAAATGAAGGTGATATATTATATTATTAATAAATAAAATCAATTTTGAATCGTAAATTCAATTATGAAGTATGTTTATGTTACATTCATTCACGTATTAGTAATACTTTAGTTATTGTATTTTATTTTATTTTGCTTTAAACCTGAAGATACTTTGGGCAATATGTATTAGTTAAGAAGGAACATTTTGCTCAATAGCAATTGAATACTTCTGAATTTTAATTTTTTTTCTAAATTGAATTTCAACGCGAAACATTTTAAGTAGGAAAGTAGGCTAATTTTTGTTTTTTGCAATTGTGTGTTTAGATATTACATAACCAATTAAGATTGTTTTGTGGTATATTATGATCAATTGAAAATTATATTGAGAATTGTTCACCTTACTTTCTTTGTTCTAAGTTGTTTGTGTTTTACTAGAATTAGCTAACGTTTAAAATGGAAAATGTTTGTGTTTTCTACGTTTTCTATGTTCTAAATTGTTTGTTATGAATTCGGTTTTCATCTATTTTAAAAGAATAAATTTTTTTTTCTTGTTTTAGCAATATTTTACTGATGTGTTATGTTAAAATGTTATTTACGTTACATTCATGCACGCACTTGTAATTCATGATTTAATTACTTATATATTAATTATTGTATTTTTTTATCTAAAACACGAAGATACTTTAAACAACAAGTATATGTTAAAAAGGAGCATGTTGCTCCTTCCTGATTTCTTCCTAACTAGCAATCGAACAACTTTTGAATTTGATTCTTCTTTAAATTTAAGCATAAACATAAAATGTTTTAAATACAGCATAAACCAATCAATATTATTTAGTATTTTATTAGAATCAAATGAAGCCTATATTGAAAAATGTTAGTGCTTTCTTTATGTTTTTCTTATTTATTTTTTTAAAAAATAAAATAAAATTTAACAACTCTTTATTTTCAATTTTCGAAGGTGATTTAGATGCGTGTTGTATTCAATTTTGGTTCCTCGTAGAAAATGAAAGACCACCATTGGCTGTATGTACAAAAGAAGTAAATTAATTGGAATGGAATCTGAATCACATGTAATACCAATAACAATAACGATGTGGTGAGTTCAATTTGGCATTAGTGGAGCCCACGTGAATAGATAGGATTCTTCCACTCCATATTTAAAATAAAATTATTTTTTTATATTTTGAATTTTTTTAAAAAAAAATTTCGTTTATCAAATTTTTCTACGTAGAAAGTAATTTCAAACTCTTGATAGGAGCATGATGCTCTTAACAAAAAGTCAATGAAAGTATTGAAAACACCCCTAATCTTGATGATAAGTTAAAAATATATTTCACTTATAATACAAGATTTGAGTGTATTTAAATTTAATTAATCAAGTAAAAAGTGTTTTTAAGATTGTTAATAATTCAAGGATAAAGCTAATAATTCGCACCGAGTTTAAAAGCATTTTCAATATTTTAAAAAAATTTATATCAAAGTGGTAACCCTTAAATAAACTTACCATAGTACAAATTCCAATTATTTGAAACTTAATGAAAATATAGAAAATTATAGGTTAAGCACAAGAAGAATAAAATTATGTGCTTTTATAGAAAAAATTATAACGCCGCTGCCGGGGATCGAACCCGGGTCACCCGCGTGACAGGCGGGAATACTTACCACTATACTACAACGACTTGGTTGTTATATGTATCCAACGATCCATATTTCTCAAGAAATTTATTTTGATATGAACGCGTTTCTCATATACACTTATTCTCTCTGTTTATAAAAATAAGTGATGTTTTTAATTTGACGAACTTCTAAAGAAACTACTGATAATTTTCAAGTATATTTTTACGAACTTACTTTTAATTAAAGAACAGTAAATAATGCGTTTATCTCTCCGAGTGTATCTTATCTGAAATCTAAACGACATAACGGATATGACACTAACTTTTTCCCATCAAATGAATAGATTTTTTTTGGTCCCAAAGTATGATGTATCCTCACAAGAAGCTGCTAAAGTCAGACACATACATAACTACAAACTTAGGAATGACAAATTGGCAATTGGTCTGGGCTGGCCTATTGGCGGATTTAGCCCAAAACTCAATAACTTTTACACAGATCTAATACTTAAATCGAAAAATTCATTTGTTGGTTCAGTGTCACCAAAAAATGAACCTTCTAAGTTTGTGATCTGTTGGTCAAGGGTCTAAACAATGCTAAATAGGACCAGGACAAAGCAGGTTAACATAGTGGCATCAAGACATGCCCCGCCTCGCCCCATTTACATCCCTAAGCAAACTTGTGTGTGGAAAACACCTTAGAAATCTTCATTCTTATATTACTATATACATCAAAATGTATAGCATCATTTCAAAGAATTTGAGTTGCTTGTCCAAAATACTGTGGTGAATGTTCTTGCCTGTCTTTGAATTAGTGAGATAAAGCATAAATGATTCGACATCGCAGTAAGTAATACCAGAGTCCTGACCTTTCCAGTAGTTGTTTCAAAGTCATTAACAATCACATCCACAATGAAATTTAAACTTTGTCCAAAGTTCCTCCTGAAACAGAGATAAAATATGGGTTAAAGGAAATCAGATAGGCACTCAATACATTAATCAATCAACAGAATGTAATGCATAATTGAGCACAATTTCTGCAGAAATAATCGAGGGTTCAATCAAGTTGCAGAGATGGATAGCGCCAAGTTACAGAGTGTTCCACTCCATGACACATGATGCCCAACCCCAGGATACGATATAGAGATGTCAAGGCTAATGGTGGTGAAGGTTCTATCATGCTTTACCAAAAAATTAGTTTCCATACACTTCCAACCAAAATGCATGCCTTATTCAATAATGAGATATACAGAAACTATGACAGTTGCATTCCAAATGGGTATTGAGTTACTTGCACAAGATTGGGTTACAATCTTTGTGACGCCCAACAATGCATCTTGAGTTTTAAAGCACAACTAATCAGAAAAGATTTTAAAAGAGAGAAGATACACATATCCTAAACACAAGTGTGCACTTAAACAACCTTCCAAAATCAAGAACTGCAATTTGTGAACCTTTTTTTAAACAAGTGTGGTGTTCAGGTAACTCTGTCCAAGGCTAGGACTGATGGGGAGAAATCACCTTGTGTCTTTGAATCTGTTAGGATTTGAACATGAGACCTCATGGTTCTCAAACCTACTTCCTTGACCACTAGGTCACAGCCTTTGGTGCGCTGCAACTTGTGAACTAGAGCATGAAGAACTTCGAACAACTTCAGTTTTTCAAAGATTTCTTTTTTTTAGGGTTTTAAAAAAAATAGATTTAGATTTCAACTTTTAAAAAATTAGAGGAACTAAGCAACTCTGGTTACTATTACAGTGGTTCAGTCATGAACCAGTTTTTGCTCTCAATCTCCAAAACTTCTTTTTACAGTAGGAATTGAAAAGAAAACAGAGATCTCTAGGCTACCAAGAAGCATTTGAGGAACTCAAGAAGTTGATGACTTGAAAATATGTACTCCATATTTTGTAGTGTTTCATCTAGGAGTTGCAACCAGACCTCTGCAATTTTGGGGTATCAAACAATTATAATTGGGAAAAAAGATTGTTTCTAGAGAAGAATGTTCAAATGAAATTATACCAGACAAAAGTCATTTGCACTTCTTTTAGCATGCCTAAACAGTCATACTAAAGACAAAGCGACATTCAGGAAGTGGATACCACACCCCAACCCGGAAAGCAAAGAAGGAAAAAATATAAAAAACCATCACATTCAAAAGTAAAGAGAAAAACATTTATAGGCTAAAAATTTAAATAATAAGCCAATCCACGCACCAGAATGTCAGCTGATATTGCAAGCCACCAGGTACTCCCTTGAAGTCTATACTCTTTTAATCTTTTGGCAAATTGATAGAAGTACAACAATCACATCTCTTAATCTTTTGCTGATATTCAAACAGGAGGGAGAAAACCACATATAACGGGAAATCGTCGGGATGCCTATAGTTTGGACTGAAACTTCCCAGTAAGAGGCGTTTCTATCAGGATACATCAATTTTCTGTTGTCTTACTAACAAAATATCTCGAATCCTGAAAATGAAGAGGTTCATTCCCCCAAGAAGTCCAGCCAGCTATCATTTCTCTAGAAAACAGTTCAATGCAACGAGCAGGCATAGACCCCGGCACATAATCTAGCAGCAGCTCTAATCCATGTGGATAAGAAAAAAATTACAAGACAACAATTCTTATGGTAAATAGTAGAAAATATCAATAATATGTCATCCCTTGCCACGCCCTCTTTCCCAACCCAGAAAAGTAAAGACCAACTGAAAAGGGGGAAAAAGGGAAAAACAACATTATCCTAAAGGGGGGGAAAATCAAATTAGGACCAGAAGGGGTTGCAGCTTTGATATATTACAGGTTACCTCCAATGGGGGGTTTCCTTGAATAATCACCAGGAACACTAATGAACACTCGATTATCTGGTATAGGATTCGATCTTGTTAAATTCCCAGAATGTGTATCCTGCAAAGACATGACAAAGTGAAAAAAAGAGCAATCTTTAACAAAGGCAACTTCAAGGCATGGGACAGCTAACCTTTCCATCACAGTAACCTAGGAGAAGACATTCATATGGTCGGTGATGAAAGAGATCCAATTCACCAGTCAACATTCCATTGGCCTTGACCTGTAACAAAAATCAACATAGATACCTAAGTGCATACTTTTAAGTCAATATACACTATTCATCAGTGTTATTGAAATTCCTCATCCCTCTCCCTACCCCTCTCCTCTCTCAGATAGAAGGTAGATTAAAGATAACCTCAGAGTTGTGGACAAACATGATACCTTCAACCAATAAAAGCTAGCAGCATATGTTACTCCCCATTTGGGAAATAAATCATTTTCCACAAAATCTCGCAACTTCTCCCTGTTGGTAACCCACAATGCAACAAGTGCTCCAGCCGTATGACAAAGTTGCTTGACAGGGAGAGATAAGAAGTATCGGCTAGGCAAAGTTGGATACCTGCAACCACATGTAGTTGCATATTGATAGAAGTATAGAAATCTACAACACAGACCTTCACACCTAATAGTTTGAGCTTCTAATATGGTAATCAGACAACTATTGACCCAATCTAATCAATCAGAGAAAATTACTTACAATATATTTATTCAACTACCCTCCTATGTCCATGTACTGCCTACCCCACCCACAAAATTCAAAGAGAAATGTTTCCCTGTAGGGTGTACAGGCAATGAATTGCTCCTTGACTATCATCAGAAAAAAAAACTTCGTAGAAAGTGGAACCCTAGAAAATAAATGCTAGGCAAGGCTAGCTAATAATCTAGAAGCAAGAGAGACAAATCAGAGATAGGATTAACACTTACCTAACTTTCTGACGAGCACTACCATTTTCCCAAGGGGGGTCTATAACTATGAGATTGAAGCCACAATCAGAACCAGCTGAAAAAGAAAACACCAAATCAGAGTTTAAGTAGATGGCTCCCATATTCTTACTTATGCACGAACCATGAAACTAATATTTTTGGCAGGAAATGAGGATTTCAGCCTTTAAACTGGATATTTCCCAATATATTGAAGATCCAGTGGAATTTAATAATCCCCGCTCAAACACAAAAAAAAAGGATCATAGCTCCTTACCTGGGATTAAGCTGTCAATCTGCTGCATATCAGACTTCAAGACACAAGACCAATAAAATGCAAAAGTCAGATTTGAAATCCCATGCAGATAAAATCAAACCAGAAAAAGAAAAGGACAAATAGCCATTAGTAAATCCATATAATTCTGGTCTCTGGATTTCAAGTTCCATGAGAGAAAAGAAAAGAGCCTTTCACAGAAAGGAAAATATCAATTTTCATTTGCATGAACCAAACAACATAAAGTAAATAATGAAACAACTATGAAGCATCTGCTCGTATCATACCATATAAAAACAACTCCTTTTGGGAATAATATACTTGTGATTAAAAATCTCAGCCTCTATATCATAGCTTCCCTCATTGGCAACAAGATTATTAAATACAGGGGTCTCTCTTTGTTCAATACTCTGAGCAAGCGGAGAACCTGAAAACCACACAGAAGACATTTAGAAAACATAACCAGCCCAGGACTATGAGAAATAAGCTAACAATTTACTGAAACTTTATTGAAATGGATAAAAAGTAAGCTTTGTCACTACAGTAAGTTGTTCCTTTGATGACCAGTAGGTCACAAACTCAAAGTGCGGCAAAAGTCTCTTTTGCAGACATGCAAGGAGAAAACTGTGTACAGTATTACCACTCTCACTATCACCACAGTGGTCATAGAGCATTTTGGGCATGAGCTAAATGCCTAAGTTCTTTTTTTTTTTTTACTGAAATGAACTGTAAGTTTCTTGTAAAGTAGACCAAACCTCCATTTTGCAAAGTCTTATCATCTTGCTGATAATTAAGAACGATCTCATACAATGGAGCTTGCCAAACACCTCCAAGCTCCATAAAGGAAAGTTCACTAGTTTCTTGCGACAACTCCTTACATTCCCCCACGGCACATCCATCATTCCTCAAATTTCTCAAAACTTTCAAAAGATCAGTAGCTTCGAGCAGAGCTTCATGCGCTTTCAACAAGAATGGCTTCACCTCCTTCAATACAATTAAAAGTCACACTTAATGCACAGGAAATTAGCTGCTCTAAATTAAATATAGCAGGTAAACTCTTCTGAAAATGAAACTTTTATTCCTTCACCAGGGAGTAATGTGAAGTGTGTTATCGGTAGTTTTCCTCTGCACCAGAAACTATCATATGTCAAATTTAAGAGTTTATTTGTCAAAAACACACTTGAATCATCACATTTTTGCGAGCTATCAGTTATTCACTTTTTCTACCTAAGTAACATCAACTATTTATCAAAAACACGCCATAGCTAGCAATTGTTACCGTTTCCTACCTGTATTATCACCATCCTTCATGTAGGAAAAGGAACAGCTTACATTCCAGGTTATTTCGATAAACATTAGGTGATATTTTAGATAGAAAACTCATACGCATGATAGTTCATATATGAAACTTGAAAAAACATATACATTTGTGTTTTTTACCCTTCACTCTAAATTTAATGGTACCTGGTGACGACGATCGGCTATTTGTTCGCGCTCGTTTAGAGATTGAATCTTCTTCTTCCTCTTACGTTTTCGTTTTCTAAAATCTTCGGAAGCTTTTGGAGATTGTGCTGAGTTCAAGGAATCGAAGAAGCGAGAGTAATACGTAGAAGGCGAAACCCTAAACCGGGTATAAGAACGGTTGAGTATTCGAACCGGGTCGATGAAGAAGGCATTTGAGTTCAGCTGAGAAACTCCTGAATCCATCAACTGATTCTCTTCCATCTTCAGAATAGTGGAATTGTTCTGCTCTCCGGTTCATCGGACAAATATCGGCGGGAAGGGGGAAGCGGGAAAAGTTTGTTTATTTGCATTTTGGTACTCATTTTTGCTTAGATGTACGTTAAAGTCCCTCAAAATGTTCTCTTTTCATCTCCCACCCCTACTTTTTTATTTGTTTATTTTCTTCCATTAATTAATACTAATAGAAGATCAATGCAAAATTGAAAATTAGATATGAATATGAAATTACATCATACTTTAGTTTTTAGTATAGAGATTTTTTGTCTTTTAATATAAGAGAATTGAAATTAGTATCACAAATTTATCAATTTTTTTGATAAATTATAAAAGGAGAAAGATTAAATTTAACGTCTTTTTTGATTAATTAAAAATATATTCACTTGTTTGTTGTGATTTTGAGAGAGGAGAAAAAAAATATTTGTTAACTTAGAAAGGTACTCGGATGAAAGAACTTTTTTTTTTATGGTCTCATAAAATGAAGTGAAATTATATCAACTAAATTAAAAATCTCTGAATTACAACTTAGTTCAATTAATTAAATAGACCAGATAATTATATTAATCATTTATCAAACTCATAATCGCTGATCAATCTACTACTCCATATATTGAATATCGATTAAAGTTATTTTCAGTCTCTTTTTTAGTCATTTATCAATTCAACATTGGTGATAAGCTTCCTTTTCAATTGGTCAATTTCTTAATTCGAAGAAAATTAAGAAAAAAGGAAAACGATGGTCATTTCCATCATCTATATCTTCTCTACACTCTCTTTTACTATTAGTTATTCGGTCTTATTTTATGTCATATATTTTAATTTATTTTAACAAGAATATTAATTTATTATAATTAAAATCAATTTTAATTTTAACTTTTTTATTTTAATATAACAATTTAAATCAATCAATATCATATAAACTAATTTTTTTTTAATTTTTTTAAAATAGATAAACTATTTCTTTTTGGACTATTATTATTATTATTTCGTTATTCCATTGGTCAAACAACACTATACAAAAGAATAAGACATGTAACCGAATTGAGAAACTTTTTTCTACTTTATTTCTTTTGCCTTTTGAAGTAACTATTAATACCAAAGAATAATCATATTTTTGTTTGACGACTAGGAGTTAAATCAAAGTACATAAAACAATAATGGACCAAACATCAAGTATTTAAAAACAAACATATTCTCTAGGGATATAACATAATAGTTATAGTTCTTACTTTTCTGTCGATTGTTTGGTTCATAAGATAAAATTGGATATTTTGTAATTAAATTTATAAAATTTAGTCGATTCATATAATAAGGTGAAATATCAAATCTAACTAAATGTTATTTAATTTTACTATTCAAATGAAATAAATTAGTCTAATAATTAAAATCATGAAATATACAAATGGGAGAGTGAAACGAGCCAATATTTGATATGTTGTAAAAGTATAAATAGTATTAGAACAAAATTTTAGTTTCGCTTTATCTCTTTTTGATTACTAATGGTAGTATAATTTAAATGACAACATTGAAGCTCAATACTATATTATTCGTGTCAAATCATTAATAACAATAATTATATCAAAATTAATTATTTTTAACATAAAACAATATAAATGACAAGAACATTTACGAGATTCTTCAAACATCTTTTATACCAAGTAAAGTAGAAAGTATATTTTATAAATAAACAATTTTTTAAACAACAAATCAAATCGTCGATTAAAATTAATTAATTTTAGCATATCCAAATCTAAGAACTTGAAAACCCCTTAGTGGTTTTCTTCTTTTGCGTGTATATGACTCATTGACAAATGACACATAATATTAGAACAAAAAATTGAGTGATTGAGAAAGGTGATAAGACCACATGGTCAATTCATGAAAAAAACAACTATCCTAAAATTTCAAAATTGAATCTTTTTTTTTTTTTATATATATTCTATGATTAAATATAAGAATGAATTCATAATACTTTTATTTGATTTATAGGATAAAGTGGGATATCAAATCTGAGCAAGTGTGTATTTTATTTTACCTTAGAAACAAAATAAATTAGTCTGACAATTATAATCATGAAACATCTTAATTGGTATATCAAAGTTATCTAATGTTTGGTATATTGTAAAAGCATAAGTAGTTTTGAAATGAATATTTAGTTTCGTTTTATTACTAAAATCATGGTACAACTTAAATGTCAAAATTATATAATACTTATCAACTCATAGAATGTTAGTATCGAGATTAATTATGTTTGCATTAAATAATGAAAATATATTTTAAAGAATCTCTAAGATCATTCAAACTCTTTTTTTTTGTACTTAATAAGATAGAAAATGTTTTTATGAACCAAGAACCTCTTAAAAAATTATATCTTTTTTTATAATATAAATAAAATCTTGAACATTCAAATAAATTTGTGGAATGTTTTGTGTTTTTATATGACATTATTGACTCATTAACATTGAAGGAAAACGAAATGATTGAGAAAAGGTGACAAGACTACGTGGTCAATTCAAAAAGGGAAAAACTATCACTCATTTAAAAATTTGGATCTTTTATTAATAATTAATCACAAACTTTTTTCTTTATTCAATTGGAGTCAAGAAGCAATGAACTATCCAATAATTTATTTATTGATGACATAGACCAATAGATATTTATTTTTGGTAAACAAGTGATTAATTTGTTGTGTTGTGTCATTCTATTATGCAAAAACTCTTTTTGTTATAATCGATATCTTCAAAAATGTTTTTGGGCGTAAATCAAAGATTTAAATTTATAAGACGTAAGTTTTTAAATTTGAGGCATAAGTTTCGAGAGTAAAACGTAAGTCTTGGATGTAAAAATACAGGTTCAAGCATTTTTAATTTTTTTTAATTTTTTTTTGCTTTAAATCATATTTTCTATTATTACTGTAATGATATTTCTCAAATAGTAATTACGAAAATTTGTTCTTCATTATTAATTATCAATACTTATCTCAAACAAAAATCATATTATAATTGCTATAGATTATAGGTTATTTTTTAAAATTCATTTATAAAATCATTGAAATGTTTACTTTTACTTATTTTATCAGTTTTAGTATTAAAAAATTGAATGTATACGAGCTACACTCCGTACTTCCATAGACTTACGTCTCGTATCTCCTGAAATATGTCTCACCTCGAACTGTATGAAACGTCTCAACTCACGCCCCCACCTTTTAAACATAGGTTATTCTTAAATTTTTGTTAAAAATGTTAAAAGTTTCTTCCTTTCCCAACCCCTAGCCCCACCCCACCCTACCCCATCAAACCCCTTTTCATCAGTTTGAAAATTGATAATCCTTTTAGCACCGTCAATTACATTTTTTTTTGGCAGTATCTAGACAAGTGGATGTTTTGATATAAAAATTGTGAAAATTTTAATATAATGTTTTAAAATTAACATTATTATTTAAACAAAAATGCATATTAAAATTATTTATAAATTTTATGAGTAATTTTATATGAAAACAATTTTCTTATTACATAAGTTCCCTTTTTATCTTCACCTACTTTCTAACTTTTTTTTCTTAAATTTCTTCAAATAAGTGTAGATCCATAATTATATAAATCCACTTCCTTAAAAAGTGGTGGGGAATATATTTTTAAGTATTAAAGAAGCATCAAAATATTATTTCAAATTATAGTATATGGAATAATTAGATTGAAAAATAATTTTCACTAATCTTTTTTAGTTCGAAGCTCATATTCAAACAATGAATTTACTTTAAACTTAATATTTATTTATTCTAATTTTAACCAAATATTATTTACATCCTTAACTATATTATTAAATCTGAATAACTAACAAGGTCTAGATCACAGATAGAACACAACGACGTTTATTTGGTTTAATAGTATCAGTTGATTGATCTTATTTTTCATATCTAGTATTCGAATCCTTATGGAGTCATCATGGTTCACAATAAATTCTTTAAATTAAAATAATTATAAGACGGAAAAAATCTCTCACAATTACTATAACTATGATTTATATGTTAATCTTTAACCGTCCATAACATAAAATTTGCGTTATAAATAATAATATGTCCAATATAATTTCACGATCGAAACAAAAAATGGCATCAGCCAAGCATAAGCACATTGCGTAATAAAAGTGAATGTTAAAGGATTATTTCAAGGCCAATTGCTGACTCAGATTACTGTACCAAATAAGGGTCCACACGCCTAAAACACTCTTCATGTGATTAGACCAATGACATTGTGCCACGTTTAAACCATTTAGTTCTCGAAATAAAATAATATCAAATTAAATAAAATATGATAAAATAAAATAAATCTAAATTAATTATGAAAAATTTCATTATTCAGTGCACCAAAGATCAAGGTCAAAATCAAAGCTAAAAAATTCTCAAAATAAATACTTTTTCGTCTTAACTTATGTCATATCTCTTTTTTGCTTTTACCCTTTTTATTTATTAATGACTTATTTTAAAATTATAAATTTTAGTAATTTTTCTTTCAAGCTTAAGTACCATATCAATTAAACATTTTTAAATATATCGAGTCAGCGCAAGTAGTATTGATTGATTTTTATCATTATTGAGATTGGCTAAATTCAATTTCACGAAAATTTCTAGTTAAATATTTTTTAATGGAGTTCGAATTCAAAATTTATGATTTTGAGCAAGAACACTTAAGAGTATGCTTAGCTATCAATAATATGACTAAGAACTCGAGTTCTCAGGTTTAAAATTCAGAAGAAACAAAAAATACAAAATAATTCTTTTCATCTGTCCTAATTTTGGTGAACAAAATTATCGACACTTGATAATGAATATTCTATAAAATTAATTAACATACATTAAAATTGATCCGAACATCACAATCATAAATTTTCGATTACATATGGTGCAAGCTAGGAGTAGTAGTAGAAAGTGTTTAACTGTGAGGAAGGACAATTAACTGACCATGGTCACACTAACAAATCCCACTACAGACCCCTCTATATAAAGCTTTCAAGCAAAAAACACACAAATTATTTACAACTCAAATAGAAAGTATAGAGAGAGAAAGCCATCAAGAAAGGTTAGAACTTTAGATTTCTTGCTTATTTTTACCAATAATTATGTTCTTGTTACTCAATTATGTAGCTTTCTATTTTTGTTTGTTTTTTTACTTAAAAAAGCTTACATATTGATGGATAACGTTTTGATTGTATCTTCATTTATCATTTTTTTCAGTGTTCAATTCTGATTTTGCTTGTCCAATTCTGAATTTTCCATCTTGATGATCATTGTTATGTGGATTTTTTTTTGTTGTTGTTGTTTTCGCGGTGGTCATGTCTGAATAATCTGTTCTTTTTTCTAATGATTGATGTTTTGATGGTTTTCCAATTATGTGTATATGATATTGAAGGTTTTTTTTCAAGTCAAGGCTTAGTCAATGGGCTATGTTGGATGCTGTTTTAGATATCATTTGAAGTTTGATGAAACGATCGTATTGTTTCGTTGTAGTTTCTGTTCTGTTATTGTTACTATCTGTTGTTTTTTGGTATTATATATTGTTTCTTGTTCTTTTTTTTTTTTTGGGAATGGTTTGACTGATTTTCATTCTGCTGTTATTGTTATAATCTGTTGTTTCTTGTACTTCCGTTACTTCTTTTTCTGGAATGCGTTGACTGTTTTTCCATTTGCTGTTTTTGTTATTATGTGTTGTTTCTTGTACTTCCGTTATTCTTTTTTCTGATATGTTTTGGACTGTTTTTCCTTGACCCGAGGGTCTATCGGAAACAACCTCTCTGCCTCTGAAGTAAGGGTAAGGTAAGGAACTGAGTATGTTGTTGTTAAAGTTGGTGAAAGTTACCTCTGAAAATAAACAGGCTGATTACTTAATTAGTGAGATATCTATCCATTTAGATTTATCATCATAAGTTTCTAATTTTGTTCAAACATTTTTCGACGAATCTGAAGTTAATTGAGTGCGCTGATTGAAATGACTTTGAGCTTTTTTGGTTCATTTCCTTTATAAGGCACTTATGAACATGTTAGATGAACAAGAATTGATCAAACTTGCTCAGCTTTGTGTCTGTATTTACAGTAATCTATCTTAGATTATGAAGCAGATTCGATATGTCCGCCTAGATTTATATTTTTTAAAATAAAAATTAGAGGGGTAGTTAAAAGTTGTATCTCATTAATCTGATGAATGATCTTTTGGATTTTTCTTCTTCTTTATGATTGTCGTTATACAGAAAGTCGTTGCGGAATTTAAGTCTTGGTTATGTGATAGCTGTCATTGTTTGTGCCTTTGTCTCACTTACTCTCTTTCTCTGATTTAACACAGAAGTAGATCGGAACGCTAGCATTGTTTGTGCCTTTGTCTCACTTACTCTCTTTCTCTGATTTAACACAGAAGTAGATCGGAACTTTCCAGCTTTGATCTATTTCATCATCTGTCTACCATGCGTCCTCTGTCTCCGTCAGCTTCACCTCCAGGCTTGATGAGTTCCTGTGGGACTGATGGTGAAATCTTTTTGGTCCTCCACCAGATTAACCGTGGATCGCCCATCCCTGATGATTTGATTGAGTTTAATCCCTATCAGTATGATCCTTCAAATTTGCCAGGTAAACATCAAGTTTAATTGCTGGTTTACTATTCATTCATCAACCAAATGATGTTTGTAGATTCTGTGTTAAAAAATTGCTGTCCTGTTTGTGGAAGAGTTTGTTTTTATCGCCTCATCTGTGTTCAAATGGCTGTATCCAATTCGGAAATCTGAAACTTGATTTGCTTTTAGAGGGAGGAATATAGGGTTCTTAATTAACGCCTAATTTCATTTACTATTCCTTTGATAGAGCATGTTGAGAAAAGGATAAAACGTGTAGGATTGAAATCGATGGTGAAGTACTAGATCGGCGATCTTTAATACTTCAAAGTGTGTTTGATAGATGCGACTTTATGAACCTTTAAAAGACGAACCTTTTATTTCAAGATGATAAATTAATAGAGCTTGTTGAGAAAAGGATAAAATGTTTGGATTGAAATCGATGGTGAATTACTAGATCGGCTATCTTTAATACTTCTAAGTGTGTTTGATAGAAAATGTGACTTTATGTTTATGAACCTTTAACAGACAACCTTCTATTTCAAGATGATAAATTAATAATGTAAAGTAATAGAACAACCACCTTCGGAGGTGCTATTTAGAATAAGTTCTGGGCATTGAAGCTGATCTAGCTAAGTAGTTGGTCATAGCAGAAGACACGTCTTGTATCACCATTTCCCTTATGTTTCTTTGTGCAGAACAAATGTATGACACAAAACGACTTCGGACTTTAGATAGGAGTGTGTGGAGTTCACTATTAGGGTAGAAGGCTAGTAGGCAGTGGAGTGTTGTCTTGATGCTTGAAGATTCAGGCTTGTTTGTGTCTATTTTAGTACTAATCGTATTCTTGTAGTTCTTGCCTTTGATATTTATCATCATGTGTTTCGATTATCACATTATTTTGTTGTTATTGTTTTTCTCTTGTAGGCTGTGCACTTCTTTCCTTATTATGCTATGCTTGATTCACTTTTTTCTTCTTCTTTTACTTGGATTTGTTGCACTTAAGCCGAGAGTCTTTCGGAAACAACCTCTCTACCTCCACGGGGTAGTGGTAAGGTCTGCGTACACTCTACTCTCTTGTTTTAGATTGTTGAGTACACATGTTTTCTGTCTCTCTTCTTTTACATTGTTGACAAAATGTTCCGTATGTTTTTTGGTGATTGCATTTTATAATCAATTTACTTTGAGGCAACTTTAATCATTTTTCTTACTAACGATTCACGATACGCATAGATGGAGCATGGTTCCTAGTGAGAAAAACTGAGGAAAAATCGACGGAATATGGACTCTGGAGAGTGAAAGATTCAGCCTGTGAAATTTTTGCAAATTCTGATATCAGTGGTTGGAGAACCACTTATGAATTTTTTCAAGTCCAAGCCTCTATCGAGCAGAAAACTGTCTATATAATGCATGAGTATAAAGTAACACCGAAAGGGCAGCGTGTTCTGACCAAGTCACAGGTAAATCTTTACTACCATCTTTCCTATAATCCTATCTTTACGCTGGTGAACTAATGGTTTGGTTGGATATTTTGCAGGAGTCTTCAATTTGTAGATTTTTTGGTTTGTGGAATGATGCAGAGCACGACGATGTACGTCACCTATTGAGCTATTTTAGCTTTATCCCATCAGTTAACCCAGACACTAGCGGTAACGATGGGCAACGTTCAATTGCTGAACCCCAGGTTGGTGCTACTTCATCTCCTTTCTGTCTAGTACTTCCATCCTGCTAATGTCCAACTAATTTTAACATAGTTTTGTCGTTATATGGTTGTGTATGTCTGTGTAGATTGTCTTGTGGGGCATAACAAAGTCTTTCGCCAAGTTCTGAATGAGCTTGAGTTCAACTCTATTTCCTGTTTTTCATCTTTGTGGTTTACAAATGTCTTGGATTTGTTCTGAATATTCAGGATATTGTACCTACATGACTATTGTGCATTAGTTCCATGTGGTATATTAATGTGTTTATATGCTTTCAGCAAAACCATCTAATGACTGCCGAAGTTTTATCAGGTAAACGGACAGATAGAAGGGGCTGGGTCATCACTCGTTGACAAATGGATAGATCAGTCTGAGATAGATTGCATTATGCGAGGGGACTACCTGGAATTGAATGACCTTATTGATGGAGCATCACATGATTCCTCTAGTTCAGAGAATACAAGTCGCCAGAGCTTCGTGTCTGATGATTTTTTCAACTCTCGGGCACTTCTTGCGGAACTAGATGATGAGAAGAAGGAAGATTTGAGTGGAAAAGGTTCACTTCTTGCGGAACTGAATGATGAGAAGAAGGAAGATTTGAGTGGAAAAGGTTCAACCAGCAATCATCATACCATAATGATGTGTCAAATAGCAAATGATGTAGTTGTGCAGCCTGGACCTTTAGGTAAGTAAACGTGTTCGCCCTCAACTTCTATAGTTTTCATAAACACTCAATTGTGATGAACTTGTTCAACAATCTATCTTTTAGCCTATTATCATTAAGAACTAATTCGTTCGAATCATGAACACCAAATTTTGAAAGAGATTTGACATCTGGAAGAAACACATGAATGTTTAGAGTAAAACTTATTCTTTGATTCATCTGGCATTGCTTGGCAGGGTTTGTATTTATAGGGAATGATGCTAAAGCCAAAGAAACTCAACAAACTCCTGATAATCACAAATCGAAATCTCAAGATCAGGCTGTTAAGAAAATGAAGGTGGCTAAGAAACTGAAGGATGAAGGTCCATCACATGCTCGTAGAGCCACGACATCATCCAGCAGCAGCAACAGCAGCAGTGATGAACCTGGACGTGCAGCTCGAAGGGAGGAGAAACGTTCAAAGAAGCTAATGAAGTTCCTGTGTTTTATGCCTTTCTAGTTTCTACATCCTTGTTGTTTCAACTCTTACTAGTATAGTTTTAACCCAAAAAAAAAAAAAAGAGGGGGGTTGGGGGGAGAATTTGTGCATTAGACTAAATTTTAAACTTTATGATATTTAAGATTTAAAATAGGAAAGTAGTTCTCTTTAATACAGATGAAAAACTGTAGCATATTCATTTGTAATATAAAGAGACAAACGCTTTTGATAGCTCTTGAAATGATAGCTTCTTTTCATTTACTTTTTTTGATGTTTGGTATCTGCATTGAAGCCAGATAAACTCTAGATTCGTATAGAAAGGTCCAACACTTGGACGGGGGAGGGGAGCATAAAATGCTCTTCGACAAAGGCAATTAATTGGCTTGAACCTGAGACCTGTGATAAAGGAATATTTGCCCTTTACCCCCAATTTTTGTTGATTTCAAATGATTAATAGTTTATTGGTTGCCAATACCACAAAAATATGTGTAAGTTACATAAATCTCATAGTTTTAATATGAATTTACAATTTATCCCTAATAAGTTTCTAATTACATTAATCCCTTGAAAATTAAAAAACCTGGATACAATAATTAAAGCTCGGATATGTTAAATATTATTAGAGATACCTTAATATGTAGCTCGAATACATTAAAAACTAGCTCGGATACATTATATGTAGCTCGAATATGTTAAATACTAGCTTAGATAAATTAAAAAAATATCTCAAATGCATTAAATATTGATTCAGATATATTAACATGCAGTTCGAATATATTAAAGAACTAAGAGATTTTGAGTTATAGTCTTTAACTTCACTTTGGTACTTACTTTCTTCATAAAAATATGAAGGAGCCCAAGGATTTGGGACTGGGCTGTTAAATGTGGGCTGGACCAAAACATTCAAGTCAAAGAGATGGACCAGTTAGGCAAGGCCCATTAGAAAATTAGATTTTTAGCAATCCAATAACGTGGTGAAAGTCATTAGTTCGAATTTGTTCATTAATCTCATTATGAGTTTTTCTAGGATTGACGCGAGAACTGAGAGCAATATGAAGCGTATGAATAATAAGTTATGCCTTAACATGAAAGACATTTTTGAATCTGTTGCGTCTACAAACAAGAAAACTATAAATAATGCAATTATATATGAACCTCCTCGAGGGTCCGATCCTGACCTAAGATGAACACTGGTAGCATGCTTAACATGTGACCTAATGAACCGACTAATACCTCTGCTTTGTTGATTCCCCTTCTCTCTGTCAAAAAATCTCTTAGATCCCCGATATTGGTTGCTTGATCGTGATAAAGCTAATATTAATTATTATCGATCTAACAAATCACTGGTATAAAAATCTCACCGTCATAATAACCTTCTTTAGTATTTTTTAAATTAATTCCATATCATTTGCGAGCTTATTTCACATGTCATAATAATCTTGTTTAATTTTCAAAAATAAGTAGAACTAGAAACGACAAGACAAAAGCAGGTCAATAAACAAATAGTTGCCCTTAATTATACCCATAATAATAAACAATAATTAACCAAAAATAATCACATGATCTTGGGAGTGACATTTAATTAGTCAATTATAAAATGGGAAAAAAATGAAAGGTTTGGGTTTACTAAAATAATGTTTTCTAAAATAAAACTTAATCAACTTGTGATAATATTATCTATTGTTCATCCGTCCACTTGAGAAAATATTTCAAGTACGCTAATTATGTTTTAGTAACAAGACGTAATAGGATAATCCAAATGATTGAAATTAATATGTGGACCATATTTTATTAGTTTTCAAGTGATTTTTTTACCACTCATCAACATATATATATAAACTAATGAGAAAAAAAACATATCTTTTCGAATTACGGAAATTATTATACTAATAATGATAATTAATTAACAGTAATAATTTAATTGCCATTAAATATATATATATTTTTAGTGATAATTAACATTTTTTATATATGTCGGTAAAGTCTTTAGCAAAATTGGATCAAATGATAAAGGTTTTAACACTTTTTGTTATTGGACACCTCCGTCATACTTTTGAAAATTGGTGTTTCTGCTGATCAAAAAACTAAAGCATATATACCCTTTATACGAATATATACGTGTCATAATCTTGTTTAAAATTGTGTTACATATCCCTATTTAATCTTCTTTTAGAGTGAAGGACATCAATACTCTAATTTTTAAACGATAAAATAATCAATATCACATAAATATGATAGATAATATCTATTTATAATTTACGATAGTTTAATATATATTTTACCTTTCCCTTAATTAATTGATTAATATAGTTCAAGTCAGAGACATTAAGTTGGACTATATATTATTTATTTCCACCAATTTTGCTTTATGACTTTATGTCAATTTTGGCTTTTTAATATTAAGGTATATATTTACGAGGAAAAAATAAAAAGAAGGAACAAAACCTTTTATTTTTAACTTTAGTGATAATTACACATGTTATGCAAAAGATCTTTAACGTCTTTTTTTTTTATTAATCATCCGACGGCTACGAATTATCGACAACTTAAATCTACGGTCAATCTATCTCCATAGTGGCGGGAAATTTGGATTAATTAATTAATGTAATTAATAATACGAAGAAAAGTTCATTATTGTTTGGATTAATTAATTTTGGATTCATTTTCTTTTTGATGTTATTTCTTCTTTCTTTTTTGAAAATTTCATGTGATCAGCTATTGTTGGATGCATTCTTTGTTCGATCTAAATATATGATATCGATAAGTAAGTCGTTATGTCGTTCGATCAGGGACAGAGCCAATTGAACCCTCTTCGACGGAAAATTATACTATTTATATATGGCTAAACTAATATTTATGAATATATAATAGATGTTGAACTTCCTTCAACTAGTTCATGTGTTTATTTCTACGAATTTTGAACCACTTTATAGAAAATTCTGATTCCATCACTGTGTTTGATAGTATATTCTATTACCTTAATTTTCTCAACAACATATCCTCCATTTTTATCCTATTCAAATTTTTATCCTATTCAAATTTTACAAAAGAAAACATTAACTTTTTTTTTTTATATAACTTTCTTCAATTTATTTTTTTTTAAAATCAAAATTCTAAAATGTGTTCCTTTATTTATTTTTTTGATATAGTACATATATTACTAAATTTATTTTTTGGGTAAATAAAACATCCTAGTGTGAGATAAAGACAACACCGACGGCCGGTAGACCTCTTCTTACAGGTGGGGCCCGCACACGATTTCGCGGGTTTTCTTCTTCCGTTACTTCACACTTCTCATACGTTACTTCCTCTATTATTATTTTACTCTAAAAAACTACACATTTATAATTTGTACTATTCTTTTTATTTACAACTTTTTTAAAGCAATTTTAATTACTAACATCCAAACTTTTCTCAATAATAAAAATAATTAATAGTTTTATTTTAAAATTATTGACGGTTTAAAAATAATTGTTTAGTTAACTAATTGAACTAAATAAATGAAATATAATTAAAAATTTTGTCAAGTTTAGGAGTATTTTTAACACTTTTTTGAGTTTTTTTATTAAGGAATCAATGCTTCTAGAAGAATTTGAAATCACTTGTTATGTCATGTGATATATCTGATTATATTTAAGTTTAATTAGTCAAATAAAATAATATTTTAAAGATAATTTATAATTTAAAATAAAATTAATAATTTATTTCAAATTTAAAGCAATACTTTTAACTTTTAAAAATATGATGAGAATACACTACTTATTTTAGAAGTCCAATAATTTCAGCTTAGTAGCTACTTTTCCTCTATCGAGACGAAGTTGAATATTTATTTATTTTTATCAACATAACATAAAGAGGAAAAAAAACATGATAAATTATACATAGATATTTGAAACGTATTTATTTCTAAGATCAATCCATTATTGGAGCATTCACTTTTTCTTTTCATCTTCACTCGATATTCGATATTCATATTGAAGCTCGATTAAATTTAAATAACATTCACAATTTTAAATGGCAGGACTTTAAATGAAACTAGGAAAATATAAATAATTACACGACAATATATGTGTTCTTCAACAGTAAGCTACAAGATATTTCTAACGATTTTAAGTAATAGGTAAAAAAATAAATATATATCTTTTGTATAATTCAAACTTACTTATGTAATCTTAATAAATCTAAAGTCTCATTTATATTTACTTTTCTTATTTCATATAATTTCAAAAACTAATTGAATCACATCAATATTTAAGGTAAATCAATATAATGCGACAACAACAATATACATGATAAAATCTCAATAGAGAAGTTAGTTCAGAAAAATTAAAATATATGTAAACCTTATCATTAAAAGAAGGTTACAATACAATGGGACAATTTCCAATAAATTAATTTTATACAATTTTAATAAAATAGTAATCACGTGGATTAGTGACTAAGAAAATGAAAATAAACAAAGGGTAATTTTGTCATTTAACATCATCACCACTTTATCCATTTTCCTCCACCAGTCAAAAAACGGTCGTCAGAGAAACTGAACAGACTCACCCCACCCCCTTTTACCACCCCACCCTGACCCCCACCCTACCACCCACTAATCAGCTACCGGTAACCGGTAACCGGCTAATTGTATTATATCATGCCGCAAAAGCGCATGATTGACGGGCCCATGATGTATACGTGGCGACTTCTTATTGGTCCATTTCAAGTCTCCGGGATTCATAGCGTTACTGCATAAAGAAACTAAAAGCAGAAAAAAAAAACACATAAAAAAAACTCATTCTCTCTCTCTAGAAAAAAAAAACTAAACTGTGTTTCTTCATTCGATTAATTTCTCAAATTTCTCTTAATTTTTCTACTATTTTACTATAAAAAACCCAACTTTTTGAATTCTACAATGTGTGATCTTTCTATTTTGATCAGTTTTGTGGATTGAATTTTGGGTGTTTTTTTTTTTTGGGGAAAAAAATGCTGGAAGCAATGGAGAGTTCAGTGCATGGAAATGGTTTTGCTCAGTTACAGAGCTGTGGGGATAGCAGTGAAGAGGAGTTATCTGTGCTCCCAAGGCATACTAAAGTTATTGTGACGGGGAATAATAGGACTAAGTCTGTATTAGTTGGACTTCAGGGAGTTGTTAAGAAGGCTGTCGGGCTTGGTGGTTGGCATTGGCTGGTAATGATCTAGTTTTGGGAGTTTTTAATTTGTGTAGCTAAAATGGGTTGTGTTTGAAATATGAATTTTGGGTTTTGAATGAATTT